GGTAAGGAACATAAGTTTAATACCTTCAGAGGGATAGGAGACTAAGCCTTAAGCCAAAATGAAGTTAAGAATTAGAAAACAGACCCCTAAGCACCTTCTGTAAAAGATGCACAAGGAAAAGTTTCATCCATTTGCATAGACAAGGAAATAACACTGAAAGTGCTTGGGCTTTTTTAAGAAGGGTATTCTTTAAGAATAGGAAGAAGAAAAAAGTAAAGATTAAAAAAAATATGAATCACAAAGTGACAACAAATACATATCAACAATTAAATCTAAAAATCAAGTGAATATAAAATCTGATGAACAGAATAAACTGGTGAATGGAATACAATCAGGGGCACAGAAATGGAACAGACAATTCTCAGAGGGAAGAGGATGTGGGGGCAAGGTGTGCAGGAAGAGATTGGACAAAGATCTTATATGTATACATTACCTATGGACACAGACAATAGGGTGGTGAGGGCCTGGGGTGGGGTGGAAACCAGGTGGAGGGGAGTTATGGGGGAAAAAAGAGGGACATTCAGGGGGTGGGGATTGGTAAGGTACGTACATATATAATACTTTAATTTAAAAAATGAGGAGAAAAAAAGAGGGACATCTGTAATAATCTCAAAAATAAATATTAATTTTTAAAAAATATATTTTAAATCTTGGGCAGAAAAACAAATACAGAGCAAAGGAGAAATTAAACATCAAAATTCTGTTGGTATAGTTCTATTGCTCACCAGGAACCAAAGTAAGAGTTCTGGCAAATAGATTCTATTTCTTCAGATTTCACTCATGGCAGAAAAGAAAAGATAAAAGTAAAATGATAATGAATTAATGGTCATTAGGTATGTTCATACTAATTTTCATAGAACTTTTCTTCAAAAACAACCTAAAGTAGAAAACTGTCATTTAAATAAGTGGGCTTTAAAAATCATGAGGTAAAGGTTCTGCTAGGTCCCACTTAAGCACCAAATTTTACTCCTGAAACTGTTTGCTGCTGAATTTTAGGATTAATAACCAATTTTGTGATATTCTCTAGAAAAAAATGTACAAAAATTATGTTGAAATAGCTAAGTATAAATTACTAAGTTAAGTGAAATGTCCTAACCTCTAGTTAAACCTCTAGTTAGTCACAAGCCCCTTAGAGGGGAAAAAAAAAAAAATTAATGGATTAATTTTTCACTTAGCCCAAGTGAGTAAAACATATCTTTTTCTAGTTAGGCTGACTGCAGTGATATTTTATCAATAAAATAATTAATGAAAGAAGCCTTATGACTCAGCAAGTCTAATTACATAAAATGTTTATATCTGGGCAAATAATATACTCAGCAAGTACAATGCAGGCAGATTATTTTAAATGTGTCATATTTTAACTTCCATTTTTTAAAGCTTCCTGGGTATGATAACCATTTGAGGAACCAGAAAAAATAGGTGTACTTAATATTCCATATCAAATTACAGTGGTGGTAGACAAAACTAAATGTCTACCCTTTATTCCCACCTTCATCCTTGCCAACAGAATTGTGACTGTTCCTATCAGGAAGCACTTGAGGTCTGATATCCCCTCTGGGACCCCAGGGGTACATGTGCTGACTAATCTTTAATAGTCCTCATGGTGAGGGCCTGAACAGCAGCATCAGGATCAACTGGGAACGGTTGGAAATTACACTCTTGGGCACCACTCTTACCCTACTAAACCAGGAACTCTGGGGGTGGGAACCAGCAATGTTTTATCAAACGTCCCAGATGATTTTGATGCCTGCTAAAGTTTGAGAGCCAATCACAGCATTTCTGTTCCCTCTGCCAGCTACTGGATTAGGCTGGTTAACTGTCAAGCTCAGGAAGTCTCCTGGGAAGCCTTTACTTGCTTTACTTGCTCACATACAAAGGAGAGGAATTATGCCGTATTTTTTATAAAGGTGCTGTCATGTCTTTATGTGATACCTGGAACTGTAGCAGCAATTCTGTAACCTTTAGGTGAGAAACCCAAATATCAAGCCACAGCCAAGGATTACAGCAGGGAAAGACAGAAGGAGACTGGGTCCCTGGTAACCATGACAAGCTGCAGATTAACCTAGAAAAATGCAATCAGCCCTAAATGGTTTGGCTCAGTTGATAGAGCATCAGCATGCAGACTGAAGGGTCCCAGGTTTAATTCTGGTCAGGGGCATGCACCTGGGTTGCAGGCACATCCCCAGTAGGGGTGTGCAGGAGGCAGCTCATTGATGTTTCTCTCTCATCAATGATTCTAACTCTCTATCCCTCTCCCTTCCCTCTGTAAAAAACCAATAAAATATATATTTTTTAAAAGAAAAATGCAATCAGCAGACTTCTTGTTAAATAATATCTTTTTTAAAACCCTATATGTGTAAATTATTTTTAGTTGGCCTTCTGTTAACTTGTAAGCCTGATGATAATATCTTTGTGGGTTTTTTTCAAGGCAAGTCCCAAAATAGTATAGTAAACAACATCATCTCACTTTCATAATATCACACAATTTTATACATACCTACATAACTATATATTATAATGTTTTATTCTATTCTGTTGTATTTTAATTTGAAGCATTTTGAAAAGGAGAAATCATAACTTTATTAAGTGAAAGTACAGAAAACACTTAGAATGATGTTATTGAAATTATTCTGGTTTTGTTTCTACCAACTAGCTTGTGGGAATAAACTACTGATAGATTTAGGCTTCAATTTTCTAACCAATCAAAGAAATGATTATGTCACTGACATTGTCCTATCCAATTAAAAAAATATACTGTTAATTTAATCTTTAAGGAGTCCAAAAAGAACTCTGGACAAAAGTTCATATTTCATTAAAGATCCTATCAATAAGGCTTTTTATGTTTTAACTAAAAGCCTGGTGCATGATTTTGTGCATGGGTGGGGTCCAGCCAGCCCAGCACTGACCGATTGGGCTGGGGGGAGGGGCTGTGGGGTGTTGGCCAGCTGGCCCTGCCCCCGATCAGGATGGGGGGGGCCAATCGAGGGTGGGGACTGCCAAGGGGAGGGGCCATGAGCAGTTGGCCAGCTGGCCCTGCCCCCTAGTCAAACTCACGGTTGAACACCCAGTCAAGGAGACAATTTGCACATTAGCCTTTTATTATATAGGATTAGACTTACTAATTGTTCTGCAACAGACTACCAACAAACATTTCCAGAAAAGGATGCCTTAATAGTGCTACTGGCTGAAAGCTGAGTGCTTGGCATTAGATCCTGCCAACTCCCAATATTTATATGAAGAGAAAGATGGTATTCTGTGGGTAAACATTCTTAATTAAAGGCTTCAAATTGACCTGATGACTTAACTTCTTTCCCATGCAAAAGTCAAAAGGTACAAAATGCAAAACAACTGACTCATATTTCCACTGGAATCATAGTTAAATTCATGTCAGTCAAAAGGGAGAGATGGGCTAAGAAGAGGAAGATCATTAACTGGAAAAATGACTTAGAAAACAAACAGTCACAGAGAATTAAAAGTGATTTACAATTATTTTTGGTAAAAGATTTCATCATACTCTCACTACAACTAATATTAAGGGTACACAAAAATCCAGACCTGATGAATTTAATAGAGTATTTTTAATGTAAAATATTTAAAGACCTCTTTACTTAAAGCACTCGATGTCAAAAGGCTTTATATCAGAAAAAAGATAGTCATGACTTCCTCTAATCAGAGGGTATTCTAGAATAAAATGTTACTGTATTATTACTAAAACAAGGGCTATCATACACCTAATACAATATTATTACTTAACTTCATTTTCTTTAATGAATACTAAATCCATATACTCAAGCTGCAAACTCAGATACAAAAGAATTGGTGCACAACTGATATGTGGTAAAATTATTTTTTCCTTCGAGGCTCCTCTTCAAGAAAGAATTGGAAGCTAAAATAAATGAATGGGCAGGAAAAACTAAATTGCATGGATGAAGAAGAAATGACATGCATCTACAATATTTTCAGCTGCTTACGTTTCTAAATTGTGTGCTCTGCTTTACTTTAGAGGTCAGTTTAAAGATTAGTTGAGATAACTGATTTAAGATGGAGTAGGATGAGAAATCTAGAAGAATAACTGCTATTTGATGACAAAACAAAAGAAGCATAAAGAGATCACCCACAGCTCAACAGTACAGTTGTGCTGTCTGCCTAACATGACATGAGCAGACTCAAGTTCTTTAGCAATAGAGTAACCACAAAGGAAGAAAAACAGCAATTACACTTTAGAAATTTTCCTTTATCCTAGAGAAAAATTAGAAAAGTACACAAAGATTTACATATTCACCGCAGAGTTTTATTTTATGTCCATAAAGAGAGAAGATTGGTCAAACAAATTATGCTATCACTACCCAGAGGGATATTAGTAAGGTAATTTAGAATAATGAGGCATTCAAGTATTTTATAACACATAATACAAATGTCATACACTACAAGTGCAAAAGCAGCCTACTAAACAATATGAAATATATGATCCCATTTTCGTTCTAAAAACTTAGAATACAATTAAAGACAGGTATATACAAATATATATTATGTATAAATAAAAATTTTTAAGTATATCAAATTAACTGTGGTGAGATCATGGATGCTTTTACATTTCCTATTTTTGTTTAGCTATAGTTCCTAATTTTGTTTTTTTATGATATGCATATTCGGGGGTAGGTTTTTTTCTTTACATTTTTTTAATTACAGTTGACATTCAGTATTATTTTATATTAATTTCAGATGTAAAGCATAGCAGTTATACATACATATACTAGTTTTATAATAATAACAAAAGTACCAAACATTTAATGTGCAGATATATAAAAAAGCCCATTTAGGGATATTCATTGTATATAGCATTTCCATAAAGGAAAAGGAAAGGTTTGTTTTAAGAGGTCATTTGAGAATATGAAATAGATTTGTTCCATAGAACTGTTGTTTACAATAGAAATTTCATCTGCAGAAAAACTCTCAGAAGTAAGGAAACTACTGACATGGAGAACAAGAAACATACTTACGGTTGAGTGAAGTCACGAGTGATGAAATCAGAACTCTTGAACAGTAGAAAGATGTCGCTGAGGGTTGTACATTTCAGAGAACTATTCATTGCTATCCAGTATGCATCCTAAATAATAAAACACATGCAACTTAGTATTTTTCTAAGTCAGTTACTATGACTGAAACGCAGGCCTATACCAAGTTAATAATGCTTACTTCTACAAGGACTTAAAGAAAAAAGTCAGGTAAGAATTTTAGCTATATTGTCAAATGTCAATTATACTTCCAAACAATGAATAGTACCACCACTGCATGTTGACATTCAATTATAAACACAGATGTTAAAGCCGTCACCCTTTTAACTCAGGCCCAAGCACTTCCCTAGGTTTTTCTGGCTAATGATGAAAGAAGGGAGCAAAAAGGTATCAGAAATGCTAACTCTTGAGCTAGAAGAGGTATCAATAAACAACCTTACCAACTATTCTCTAAGACAAAGGAGAGCCTTTCCCTTCTCCCTATTTCTGCAGAGAGAACTAGAACACCTGAAGTTTGATAACTAGAACTCTTAAGACCCAAGTCTAATAAATATGGGAGAGTGGAAGTGGTCAGATATTCTGAACATCACAATTTTAAATGATGAATCATACATATAAACAAAACAAAAAAAGTAAGAATATCAGGCACAATGGGCACAAAACTTAATGAAACATGCCTAAAAATGACAAAATAATTGTCATTTAAAAAACATATTTCTCCCATAGATAGATCAGACATAGGACAATAAAATAATTTTGAGAAGACCAATGATTATTTTTAAAACTATTCAATTATCTACAATATGGGAAAACACTGGTACATAGTAGGCACTTAATAAATAAGAAAAGAAAAAATGAATAACTTAAAACCACAAATAATTTATCCAACTTAAGTGGAAAGCCTTAACCTAGTTCAGGTGTTAGGAATGATTCAAATTACTGCTCACATATAAAGTAAAAATGAGCTTTAATAACTTCTTTTAAATTTTTTTATTGAAAAAGATGAAGAACTTGTGATTAAAGATGTATATTGAGCCGGGACCGGTTTGGCTCAATGGATAGAGCGTCGGCTTGGGGACTGAATGGTCCCGGGTTAGATTCCGGTCAAGGGCATGTACCTTGGTTTCGGGCATATCCCCAGTAGGGGGTGTGCAAGAGGCAGCTGATCGATGACTCTCTCTCATCGATGTTTCTAATTCTCTATCTCTCTCCCTTCCTCTCTGTACAAAATCAATAAAATATATTTTTTTAAAAAAAGATGTATATTGAACAGAGATTTGACTCCATTAAAACAATAGTATATACACTGAAAATCATGCAACTAAATAAACAATTATTAATTCCAGGGAAAACAAAATGTTGAATATGAACATATAAGTAATTATAATATAGTATATATCAGGTGTGTACATAGTATTTGCATAATCATAATATTAGAAATACTAAATACTAATCTGATCAAAAGTATGATATTGCTATGATGAGAATAGTGGAATAGGAAATAAAAGTTCAATATTTCTGTTCTAGAGTAGGAAGTCAATAATAAATACATAACATTGAAGAATAAAGAAGGAGAAAATAACAAAAAAATATACTAAAATATTTGAAAGCCTCTGAGGAATAGGAAATGTGAAACAAAGCATGTCAGGACCTGCTGATTTTTGAAGCATCCAGGGAGAGCTTTTGTAAATTTAAACAATGTATATATATATTATTAACTTTAATAAGTGAAAATAAACATTAGATTAAATAAATCTCATTCATTTTAGAATAAAGAAAGATAAGCATGAGATGATTTCTGAAAATGCAAAGTCCTTGATTTCTTTCAATGACCTTTGTGTCATAAAACTGTTTTCTATTGGATTAGAAAAAACAGTAAATTTTTCCACAGACCTTAACTTAAAAAAAATCTTGTTGATGAAATGTTAAAATAATAAAACAACATAAGAAGGTATCAGTTGATTTCTCAAACTGCTCTATTTCTAGATCCTGTGACGTTTAAATTTTATTCCTTTTCAACAGAGAAAAATCTTTGTTAAACTAAACAGATGAAGTTTTGAAAAGGACATAAGATAGATTTCCTTATATTTCTAGCATGATCAGCAGCACAAGAGATTGAAACTGTCTTTTGGGAAAATATACAGTACTTTACAGAGCCAGGAAAGTGTACTACAAAAATCAGGAAAATAAAATAACAAGGGAAAATAAAAATAAATTCCATGGCATTTTCCCTAGACTTAGGAATGTAATGAGCCCTTGTGGGGACAAAAGTGAAATGAACAGCAAGGCAAAGGATACTCAAACAAAGAGAGATTTACTGAGGTGGCCTACCCTTGGGGCACTCCAGTTAAGCTTAGGAAACACACTGCCCCCAAGAGATTGGATAGCTTCTTGGACAGTCGTGGTGAACTCAGGAAACTCCGGAGCCTAAAGAGAAAAAGAAATATTTGGGCAAGTCAATATCATCACAAAAAATATATGAAACATAATCAAAATCTCAAGGTAAACTATTAAAGATGTTAAAAAGTAATTCAGAATGCAAATCACTATCAGAATTCTGAACTCAGTTAAACAGAATCCATAATCAAATAACATTTGCCAAAAAGGGGAAATGTGCCCAAATGTCACTTTCCAAAACAAATAAAACGCATAAACTAAAGAGACAGATGTCACAAGGCACCTGGAGATTTGAGGAAGGAAATGAATGGTTCTTTAACACCTACATAAAACCAGTATTTATTAAGTGAAAAGAGATAGACGGAGTATCACCTGTACATATAGTCCAATTCTCAGAACTAAGTCCTGACATTTAAAGGTCCAGACGCCTTTTCATTGGCAGGAACAGATTCTGGGATAAATCCCATAAAAGGTTTCGTGAGGATGAGAATAAATTATGTGATAAAACTATATTTAAACACTACTATTTCCTTACAAGTTTTAAAATAAACGAACCTCAAAAACAGAATCTTGGTGAAATTAAAGTGTTCTTTCTTTTTTGGTTGATTTGAAAGTTGATCTTATATAAGTAAGAAACCAAAACATAAGTGTCATTTCAGCCAGGAAGTAAATAGAACTACTGTTGTGAAGGAACTTAAAAGCGATTAATATGCTTTGCCTCGAGCCTATGTCACTATGAAAGGAACACACAAAAATAAAGTACAGAAAAGGGGAATGAGAGATGTGAAGTGGAGCCTGAAGGAGAGACAGAACACAAATACATTAACAGATACTCAACAAAGTCACAGGTATCCCTTCATATATGCTGCCATCTACTGGGCAGCTTCAAATTCTGAAAAAATCCAGTAATAACAAGTTCTTCCATAGACGGGAAAAAGTTAAAACAGGTCTGAAAATAGCTAAACTATACAGTGTAAAATAAATCAAATGGCTTATACCAGTGATTTTCAACCAGTATGCTGCGCATACTGCATGAGGCACACTGATATGCTACAATAATTTTTAAAACAGCAATACCTGACTATTTAGTCAGGGGCATTGACCTCTTTTCCCTCAGACTATCAAGTTTAAAAATACAAAAGTCAACACAATAGCCATCTGATGTGAATTATTCAAAAGTAATTCAGAATGCAAATCACTATCAGAATTCTGAACTCAGTTAAACAGAATCCATAATCAAATAACATTTGCCAAAAAGGGGAAATGTGCCCCTTAATTATTTATTGTCGGATCGGCAAAAATAATATTTTTGGTGTGCCACAGGATTTTAGTAATTAGTTTATGTGCAGCTTGAGATGAAAAAAGCTGAAAAGTCATCTATAATAATAAAAGCATAATATGCTAATTAGCCCTGACGTCCTTGTCCTTCTGGACGAAGCCCAGGACCCGGTGCCAGAGGAAAGCCAGTCCTACTCTTGCACAAATTTCATGCATCGGGCCTCTAGTTGGCTTATATTCATCTCCAAGTTCTAACCCAGTTATGATAGAGAAAACTGTGATAAGAATCTGGGAAACAGGACAAACAATGTAAGTTTTAAAAAATGGAAATATTTAACTAGAAAGCTTTAAGCAGTAGGCTAGTGAGAAAAACCAGAGAGATCAAGGGCAGCTCGGACAAACTTTTTTTTTGCTACTGATGAACATAACCTCTAGACTAGTTAGCAGCATCTTTTAGTTATTTGACAGCCTGCTACTATATCTTCTATTTTACTCTTTCAGGTTAGATACGTAAAATTAAACTCTAGCAACAGGCTTTCAAAATGAGTAACAGCTTTGAGTCCTTAATTTTCCATTTGCCTTTCCCCATTAAAAGAAATTACCATTTATGCTTAGCCAATAATTTCCTTATAAACCCCTGAATTTACTGACTTGGCTTCCGAGGAGCTCTATTCACAAAAACACTTACCTACATTAGCAATAATTTCAACAAACAGCAGTTACACAAAATTTACAATCTGAAGAGATTCAATCTTCAAAGACAACAAAATTTAATTTTCCTACCCCATTAAACTTAATATATAAGGACTGCCTTAAATTTATGTATTACATTTTAAAAGAGGTGATTGATTCCCTAAATCTTCAAATTATTCAATTTTAAGAAACCCTGCTATAAGAACCCTAAAATCAATTTATTTTAATACATTTTATTGATTTTTTACAGAGAGGAAGAGAGAGGGACAGAGAGTCAGAAACGTCAATGAAAGAGAACCATCGACCAGCTGCCTCTTGCACACCCCCCAGTGGGGACGTGCCCGCAACCAAGGTACATGCCTTTGACCGGAATCGAACCCAGGACCTTTCAGTCCGCAGGCCGACGCTCTATCCACTGAGCCAATTGGCTCAGTGGATAGAGCGTCGGCCTGCGGACTGAAAGGTCCTGGGCCCTAAAATCAATTTAAATTATAAAAAGTTTATGCATTGTAGGGAAAAATTTGTGCTGCAGTGGAAGAGTATGTATTGTCTATATATAGCACTCTCTTATGGGTTATCTGATTCTAGTTATTTTACAATGTGGTAAATTGTAGGTAAGCAGTAACAATGAAAAGTATTTCTTATGGAGTGAAAATTCAATCCTGACCAACAGAAATCCAGTTGTCTTCCCTCCCATCATTGAGAAAAAACTAGTTCTGCCTCATTTACTTAGTATTCATTCCTAATCTATAAATGTATCTGAAAATGTAACTGTTTTGGGATTCTCTTACTTTAAATCCTCACTAGAGGATATGTATATTGATTTTTTAGGAAGGAAGGAAAGAAGGGGGAGAGAGAAACATCAATGTGAAAGAAACATTGATTGGTTGCCTCCCATACATGGCCCAACTAGAGACCCAACCCACAACCTAGTTATGTGCCCTGACCAGTAATTAAACCTACAACCTTTTGGTGTACAGGATGATGCTCTAACTGAGCCACCTAGCCAGGGATTTTTTTTTCCCCAGAGGAAAGAAAGTTAGGAAAGACGGAAGGCAGGAGGGAAGGAGAGAGAGAGACATTGATCTGTTGTTGTTCCACTAATTTTTATGCACTCACTGGTTGACTTTTGTATGTGCCCTGACTGGAGATCAAACCTGCAATCTTGGGGGTATCAGGACAATGCTCTAACCAACTGAGCTACCTGGCCAAGGGCTTAATTTTTATTTACTGATTTTAGGGAAAGGGAGAGAGAGACAAAAAGAGAGAAACATTGCTTTGTTTCACTTATTTATGCATTTATTGGTTGATTCTTGTATGTGCCCTGATGAGGATCAAACCCAAAACCTTGGTGTATCAGAATGATATTCTAACCAACTGAGCCAGCAGGCCATGGCTTATGGGTTCTCTTTGAATCAGTTATAACTGCCTGCCTCCCTCATGAGATAAATTAAACCTCAAAGTGTATTAAAGAATTTTATATCTATAGGGAAGTCATGCTTCTACCTTTTTCTGGAAATTATCTTACAACTGATTTAACTAACAGGAATCTTTTAAGCTCACAGCCCCAGTTGATTTTAAGTTTGCATAACACTCAGTTGTCTTGGAAAAGGTTCCATTATAAGTGGGATAAAATCCATACTTTAATCATATCCATGGGTTTTCTGTGATCTGGACTCACCAATTTTCCAACTTTATCTACCAGCATACCCCTGCATCACACCCATTCAGAAAGGGTATTTCTTTTAAAAAAAAAAAAATTTAAACCATAAAATGTTTTCAATATACAAAAAATATTAACACACTCAACAATTTGGCAAATATTCAATAATTTGATCCAGACCTTTAAATTTTTTAAGGGAAAAAAGCAGTGCAATACAACTGAAGCTTTTTACCTCCTTGTTCTCCTCCCTAATCTTTCCCTATCCCCAAAGGCAACCATCATTAATAATTGGGCATATTCTTCTGTAGTCATTATTTTATACTTACAAAACCTGTGCCTATCTATAAAATATAACATTTCAAAATTTTAGCATAACTGCTGTCATATGATATACTGTTAGCTTTGAAATTCACTAATGTGCTTTTGATATTTACCTGTCTCCTCCCCCGACCCTATTTTTAATTGTTTTTCGTGTGTGTGTGTGTGTGTGTGTGTGTGTGTGTGTGTTTTAAGTATTTATTGATTTCAGAGAAGAAGGGAGAGATAGAAACATCAATGATGAGAGAGTCATTGATTGGCTGCCTCCTGCATTCTCCCTCTCCCCCCAATGAGGATCGAGCCTGCAACCTGGGCATATGCAGTGACTAGAATTGAACCGAGACCTCATAGGTGGATGATCAACTACTAAGCCATGCCAGTTGGGCTCAATGTAATTGTATCTACACTAATGGACAATTACCATTCACCAAGACCTTCTATTTTCCCACTTTGGATCTTGGCTCACATTCCCCTAAGAGTGTTCTTCTGTCATGAATGTCTTCCCTGCCCAACATCTAGTTCACCCAGTGAAACCCAATCACTCTTTCACTTAATTTTTTATTTTAAAACAATTTCAGACTTTTAGAAGCATTAAAAGAGAAACAAATGCTTCTTCACCCAGGCATCCTCAACTCCTTCTCAATATATAACTATGTAGGCACTGTGTATTTATTTGTATCTACACATAAGACACTTTTTTCCCTATACCAGTGGTCGGCAAACTCATTAGTCAACAGAGCCAAACATCAACAGTACAATGATTGAAATTTCTTTTGAGAGCCAAATTTTTTAAACTTAAACTTCTTCTAATGCCACTTTTCCAAAATAGACTCGCCCAGGCCGTGGTATTTTGTGGAAGAGCCACACTCAAGGTTGCCAAAGAGTCGCATGTGCCTTGTGAGCTGCAGTTTGCCGATCAGGGCCCTATATTCTTTTAAAGTAAGTTGAAGTCATGATGCCCATTTACTCCAAATTACTTCAGTACATATTTCCTAAAAATAACACTCTTTTACATAACCTAGCAAAATTGTCAAAATCAGAGAGCTAACACTGAGAAATACCTTTTTCTCACTGAGAGATCTCATTCAAAATGTGCCCATTGTCCTAAAAATGTCTTTTATAGTAAAAGAAAACATTTTTTTCTGACTCAGGATCCAGTCTAGAATTATGCATTGCCTTTAGTCAACATGTCTCTTTAATTTTTTTCAATCTATAATAGTTTTTCTCTCTGTTCTTCATTTTTCATGACCTTGACATTTTTTAAGCTTATAGGAAATTTATTGTGTGGAATTTCTAAAATGATGGATTTGTGACATCTCCTTGTGTTTGGATTCAGGTTTTGGCAGGTGATGTGCATTTCATCAGAAAGCAAGCAATGTAGGTCTGTCCATCCTGACAAGGTTCACCTGCAGTACTCGGTGCCAGGTCTTTCCATTGTAAAGTTACTGTTTTTTCCTTTTGAAACTAATAAGTGCTTTTGGTGCAATAATTTAAGAATATGTAACTATCCTTTCTCACACCAGCAGATTTGAGTTTTTAGCATCTTTGGACAGAGATATTCAGAGTTAAGACAACTCTGGCTTCTGATTGCCTAAGGTAAAAAATTCCTCTGAGTGAGCGTGTGCTAATTATAGAACAGTATAGTCATTTGTGTGTTTTGAGAGCACCACAAAAACAAAACAAAACAAAAAAAAACAACAACAACAAAGAAAAAGGAAGGTGTTCACTGAATTCACAGCTGGTGGTTAGAAGATAGAAGAAATGTTGAAACAAAAGGAGAAAGAGCTTGGGTGGATGATGAGGTCAAATGGACCATCCAAAGGTGCTGATGACAGTCTTGCTCTCCCATCACACTGTGCAGCTCCCATCTGTATAGCTGTCCCAGAAGCAAGAACTTGCTGTGTGTAATCCTGTTCCATTGCTTTGCTTAATTACACGGGTCTCAATGTATTTAAATGGTTTTCCCAGCTCGGTGAGTTGGTTTAAAATTTGTTCTACTTTTGCCCTAACGGTTTGACTCTGGCTAGAACGTCAGCCTACAGACTGAAGGTTCCAGGTTTGATTCCAGTCGAGGGCACATGCCTGGATTGCAGGCTCAATCCCCAGTGGGGGTTGTGCAGGAGGCAGCCGATCAATGATTCTCTCTCATCATTGATGTTTCTATCTCTCTCTCTCTCTCTCTCTCTCTCTCTCTCTCTGTCTCTCTCTCTCTCTCCCCCCTCCCCCCTTTTTCTCTGGAATCAATTAAAACACATTTTTAAAAATTTGTTCTACATTTGTAGTCCACTGATTCACTTTGCTGTACTGTTTGCACTGCCACCGATGATACTTCCTATAACCTCTTTTACACGTTGCACACTTCATCAAGAACAAAAGTAGTCTCTTTTGCAGGCTGGTAGTCTTCCTTGCCTCCTTCAGAGCCTCTTTACTTTCTGACTACAAATTGCTACCTGCTCATCTTTACTTTCCCAGCCTCAGTCTTGAGTTTCTACAGGGAGCTCTGGCTCCTTTTCATGGAGAATGGCATATAGAAACCAAGATCAGGACACTAGATATGTTCGTTGCTACCATGATATCATATATTATTACTTCTAGAACTTAGTGAAGAGTTTGGTAAAAAGAGATATGCACACATATATTATTAATTTCTATAGCTATCTATATCTAAAAACTTGAGTTTATACTGATAATTCTTACCACTTTTAGGGGCCAGATCAAATATTACTTCTCCCTCTACATACCTCTAGATCCCCTCAGTTCTAATTGTTCTCTTTGGTTTGACAGTATTTTGTCATCTTCACCCAAACTGGGGCATCTTTCCCCGCTGGTTTATAGGTTTATAACCTCCACTAGAGGCCTGGTGACTAAAATTCATGCACTCGGGGGCGAGGCGGAGGAGAGTGGACGCGTTTCCCTCAGCCCAGCCTGCACCCTTTTGCAGTCTAGGATCCTTTGGGGGATGTCTGCCTGCAGATTTAGGCGGACATCCGTTTGCAGTCTGGAACCCCTCACTCCTCACTGCCTGCCTGCTCGCTGCTCCTTACAGCTGGGCTCTCTGCTCCTTAGGCAGGAAAGGCTCCCTCCACCGTTGCTGCACTTGCCAGCCATGAGCCCAGCTTCTGGCTGAGTGGCACTTCCTCTATGGGAGCGCACTGACCACCAGGGCACAGCTCCTGTGCTGAGCATCTGCCCTCTGGTGCTCAGTGCACTTCATAGCAACTGGTCGTTCTGCCATTTGGTAAGTTTGCATATTAGGCTTTTATTATATAAGACAGTAGCAGGAATCAGATCAAGTGCCATGGATATGGTATATAACTAACAAGTATGCTATACTGAATAGAATTTTCATAAAGATTGACCTGTATGATATCCAGAGTTAAACAAAACATACAGTCTTTCTCTTTCTGGCCCGGCCCAGTAGCTCAGTTGGTTAGAGAACCACTAGATTTAATAAATGAATTTGGCAAAGTAACAGGTTATAGAATCAACACCCAAAAATCGATGGCTTCATATAAGCATAACCAATGGACACAGACAATAGGGGGTCAAGGAAGTGTGTTGGGGAGTGGCAGTAGTCAGGGATAGGTCAATGGGGGAAAAGGAGACATATATAATACTTTCAACAATAAATAATTTAAATTAAAAAAAAAATCAATGGCCCTTTTATATACCAATAATGAATTCTCAGAAAGAAACTAAACAATCCCATTTACCATTGCAACAAATAAGTTAATCTAATTAGAAATAAACTTAACCAAGGAGGTAAATGACTTGTACTCAGAAAACTACAGAATGTTGGAAAAAGTGATAGAGGAAGATAGAAACAAGTAGAAGAATATACCATGTTCATGGATTGTTAGAATTAACATCATTAAAATATCCATACTACCCAAAGCAATCTAAAGATTCAATGCAATCCCTATTAAAATGCCCACAGCATATTTCACAAGTCTAGAACAAATACTCCAAAAATGTATTTAGAACCAAAAGACCCCAAATAACCCAGCAATCTTGAGAAAGAAGAACAAAGGGATCACACTACCAGATTTGAAGTTATAATACAAAGCCATCATAACCAAAACAGTCTTGTATTGGCAGAAGGACAGACATATAGATCAATGGAAGAGAACAGAGATCCCAGAAATTGAACCAAGCCATTACACTCAATTAATATTTAACAAAGGAGGCAAGCGCATACAATGGAGTCAAGACAGTCTCTTCAATAAATGATGCTGAGAAAATTGCAAAAAACATGAAACTAGACCACCAAGAGTAAACTCAAAATGGATAAAAGACTTAAATGTAAGTTGTGAAACCATAAAAATTCTAGAAGAAACCATAGGCAGCAAAATCTCAGACATCTCTCGTAGAAATATGTTTACAGATATGTCCCCTAGGGCAAAAGAAACTAAAGGAGAAAATAAACAAATAGGATTACATCAAAATAAAAAGCTCCTGCAAAGGAAAAGAAACCATCACCAAAATGAACAGGGAGCCCACTGAATGGGAGAACATATTTGGCAATGATACATCTGATAAAGGGTTAATATCCAAAATATATAAGGAACTCATATAACATAACAAAAGGAAGACAAACTATCCAATTTAAAAATGGGCAAAGGACCTAACTAGACACTTCTCCAAAGGGGACACACAAAAAAACCAAGGGACGTGAGAAAATGTGCAGTCACTGATCATCAGAGATATGCAAGTTAAAACAATGAGGTATCACCTCAAACCTGTCAGAATAGTTACCATCAAAAAAAAAAAGAGAGATTGAGAATTGCTACCATCAACAAATCAACAAATGACAAGTGCTGGTGAAAAATTATAAGCTTAATCAACTTTTACATTTTTACACAGGCTAGTGGTTAATGTCATAAAGTCCTTACTCTCACTAAAAAGAAATTGTAATGTTTTATGACATTTAAATATATGTGAATAAGCGAATATAGATTTTTCACATTAATTTAGCTCCCATAGATCTAGACTTGATTCCTTCTTTCAGAGCTTAAGAGAAACAAGTCAAAGCATCAATTATGAACGTAAAATATTTCCTTTGTAACCAAAGTGGGGGAAAGGGCAAGCCATGTTTGCCTGTAAAGAGTGATTCAAACCCTACTTGGTTTGGCTCGGTGGATAGAGCATTGGTGTGCAGACTGAAGGGTCCCAGGTTCAATTCTGATCAAAGGCACATGCCTGGGTTGCAGGCTCAATCCCCAGTGTGGGGCGTGCAGAAAGCAGCCAATCAATGATTCTCTCTCAATATTGATGTTTCTATCTCTCTCTCTTCCATCCTCTCTGAAATCAAAAAATATATTTAAAAAATAAAAATAAAAAGAGTGATTCAAATTATTTTTCAAAATAATAAATAATAGTCCTGGCCAGTGTGCCTCAGTTGGTTGCAGCCTAGTCCCATGCACTGAAGGGCTGCAAGTTTGGTTCCCAGTCAGGGCACATACCTGGTTTGCAGGCTCAATCCCTAGTTGAGGCCTTATGAGAGGCAACCAATCAATGTTTCTCTCTTACATCAATGTTTCCCTCCCTTTCTCTCTAAAATCAAATTTAAAGAATTTTAATAGCTAAACTGGTGTGGGTCAGTGGGTGAGCATCAACCTATGAATCAGGAGGTCACAGTTCAATTCCTGGTAGGAATACATGGCTAGGTTGTGGGTTCAGTCCCCAGTGAGGGGGATGCTGGAGGGAGCCAATCATTGGTTCTCTCTCATCATTAATGTGTGCTTATATATATATATATATATATATATATATATATATATTCTCTGGAATCAATAAAAATAGATTTTAAAAAACTTTAATAATAAATTTTAAAAATGATAGTTTTTATTAGTCCACTTTTTGAGACAGAAACTAATAAAAAACTAATACATAATAGACAACAGAAAAAAAATGAGACATCTGAAATGGCGAGTAGATGAACATTCAGAGGCAGGCACTGAAGCCTGAAGCAGCTGTGTGATAGTGTGAGGCTGTCCCCAGGCTGGTATTCTGCTCTTACCGTTAGTGTGGTTGTGTTTTCATCATCTGACCACTGCATGAAGAAGAGAATAGAAAAAAACATTAAATATTGATAATGTACTGAGCTTCCAAAAAAGTAGTACTCCATGTAAAATTTATACATAAACAGATATATAAAAAGCCAGCGACCAGAACGCTGTAACAACCAGTCGCTATGATGCCCACTACAGCCAGCAAACCAGCCCTATCTGGGGTGGGGCTGGCCAGCCAACCACCAGTGGCCCCTCTCCCACGCTGGCCCCGCTCCCAGTTGGCCTCTCCCACCACATCAAGGGCAGAGTAGCTGGCCTACGCTCTCTCCCCTCTTCCCCACCTCCCCCCCACCCAGCCCTTCTCCCCATCTTCTCCCCTTCCCCAATTGGGGCCAGGCCAGCCAGACCCCACCTGTGCAGGAATTCGTGCACTGGGCCTCTAGTATATATATTGTAAATAAAAGTATACATCCAAGTGAGATTTTCATGTAATTTCTCACTTCAATGAATATATGCTAAGAACTAAAGGTCAGAACTATTTCAGAGATCATTGAAATTAGAACAGGCTCCAGAAAAGAGTAGAACCAACCTGTATTTCTTCTGCTTCATCATCACTGTCTGGCTGAGAACATGTTGGAGGATCTTCCCTAGAAGGACATGAAGCAAAAATTAAGAAAGAAAAAGGTTGTGTACTATGTAGTCAGAATTTCAGTTGAGTATATAAAAAGCCTTTCAACTGGAGTGTAATATTAGAAAAAGTCCACTTTTTGAGACAGAAACTAATAAAAACCAATATAAAATTAATGAGAGTACAATAAAGATGGCAGAATAAAAACTTTCTGCCTGCTTTCAGAAATCACTTAGAAATAAGGGAAAGAAAACTCAAAGTCTTCCTCTGATGACACCAAGAATCATCCACAACTATGGAGTCCAGTGTTGAGAAAGTGCTGCCAGAGACCAGGAAGGTCAAACGGGATGAAGGAAGACACCAGAGGAAACAGCTGAAGAGCTGTTCTGCACAGCTGAGGGAACACCCCTGAGGGGCAAGACTCCCTAGTTTCTACGGTGAAAACAGAGTGTGTGGACTAGTATCCAGAATTCCCTGAGTCTGTACTGGCAACACAGAGAGGTATGGGGAAGAGAGTGAGAAAGAAATACTCAGACACACTCTCTTTAAAGAAGCACGTATGGGAAGGAGGCATCTTGTAGCCAATCTTGTTGCCCAGGAGGAAGCAAAGGCTGAAGGCACTCAGAGGGGATAACTCTGCCCTGGACCCTCCTCAATACTGAACTACAAACAAGTGGCCTAGGAATAACTCACATAATGAAAACAAATAACAATCAGAATAACAGGGAGTACAGGATCTGGACCAAGAAACTACAAGAAAAATGGAAATAGGGCCTCTGGGTACCATGAGCACTTATTTACCCTTATGTTCCCTCATGGAACTCCATTAAAATGATAGGAAAGACCCCAAGAAGAAAGAGGACCCACAAGAAGACAACTACAGAAGGAAGATAGCAACAAAAGTTTGGAAAACAAAAAGCCAAGAGGGGTCACCCACTAAGCAACAGCTAGAACCTAGAGACCTCTCGATGACAAAACTGCATCTCTGGGCTATGAATAGGGCTACTTGTGGGAGGTCCAAAAAATGACAGAGTCACCCAATCTCCTTAAACTTGCACACCCAGGCAACTAATCCTCTTCCACCCCACGGCTAAGCAGGTTTATTCTCTGGGGGAAAGTGAACTAAAGAGGCTCACGGATCAGGTCCATAATGGCCCAGAGGAATATGGGAGTGAAATGCTAGAATATGATGAGGAGCCATGTGAAAGTCATGCTGAACTAAGAGCCCTAGTTCCCGTCCTCCTACCCTGCTGTCAGAATGCAGACAGGTGAGAGAATTGTCCTCTGTGCAAAGTGGAAAACCCCAGGGTCTAATTGCTGGCAGTCTTAGTCAACAAGTCCGCCCAGGTATAGTTTCCAAATGTGTGTGTGTGTGTGTGTGTGTGTGTGTGTGTGTGTCCCTCACTCTTAAATATGAATAGAGGCCTAAAATCATCAGAAAACTGAAAAAAGATGTTTTCTAAACATTTCTAAAAAAAAAAAAAAAAAAAGAGGTACATGGAAGAAATAAAGACAACGAAGTGGCTAAATGAAAAATATCTATTTTAAACATTATTAATATCCTTACAGATAAAAGAAGAGCCCTAGCTGGATTGGGTCAGTGGATAGAGCATCAGCCTGTGGACCAAAGGGTCCTGGGTTCCATTCCAGTCAAGGTCACATACCTTGGTTGCAGGCTTCTCCAGGCTCGGACCTTGGTCAGGGCTCCTGCAGAAGGCAACCAATCAATGTGTTTCTCTCACATTGATATTTCTCTATGTCTTTCCCTCTCTTTCCCTCTCCCTAAAAATCAACAGAAAAATATCCTTGGGTGAGGATTAACAACAACAAAAACAAGATATTGTATCCATGAAAAAAAAAAAAAAATAGGAGGCTATAAGAAAGGAACAGAGGACAAGATTGAACTTGTAGAAACAAAAAATTCAAAATAAATGACAAAGTCAAGGGAATTACCTAGAAGTTTGAACAAAGAAAATGACAATAGATAAAAAAAAAAATAATAAAATACAGAGAATCCAGCAGATCCAACATTTAAGCAACAGAAGCTCAAGAAACAGAAGCAAGAAAATAAAAGAAAATTATAAAAGATGTAATATTTTTAAATCTCCCAAAACTGAAAAACATAAGTCTCTAGATATATATAGCACAATGAATGGAATAAAGGGGGGGAAACTTAAATAATGTGCCAAGATGGCTACAATAATTCTTCCCATCACGTTGGACAAGCCCTTTTGAAGGGTGACTTGCTACTCTTCCCATGAAGAAATAGCATTTATTTTCCCATCCCTTTAATTTAGACCGACTTCAAGATTCACTATGATCAACAAAAGACAGAACAAGTGACACCATGTAATTCTGAGTTTAGGTGTCAAATAAGTCTTTTCAACTTCCAATCTCACTTTTTACTGAGTCACACCACTATACATTCCTGCTGCATAAGTGACCTTAGCAAGACCCACAGGGACCTACCTGTCTGTCCAGTGCCAAGAATTACAGAGGCTCTGAGATTCTACCCTCTGTACAAGCTAACCAGTGAGCCCATGTGATTCGTAGCTTTGTGCCTCTGGAAATTCAATTCCATAGAATTAAGAAAAGTTGATTAAAAAACTGATATACATTAATCAAAATCACAACAGACTGATGACTCAATATCTAGAAAGAATTTACTGGTCTACTCACAATAAAAAGACTAGTCAATAATTCTAGTTCATTAACACCAGTATATTTATGTTAACTATACACCACACATGTCAAACTCGCGGTCCACAAAGAATATATTTTCAGCCCAGCCAATATAACAGTGTGAGCAGTTATTTACAATTATGAAAGGAAATAATTTCCCGTCAGATCCAGAATTCCTGACATTCACCTTGGGTCAGTTTTGAAAGTAATCACCGTGAACAAGATTTCCCCCGAAATAGGAGAGACAATAGTAGAGAAGAGATGCCAAGTGTCAGGAAGAAAACATTAATTTTACCATTGTTCTTGTTGTATTTTTCATACTATACTTTTCAAAATAAACCTATTTTTCTATGAAAATTGAAGCTTTTGGGTTTTTTTTTACTTAAACTTTCAAACTTCAGTTTTTTTTAAACCTTGTTTATTTGGCCTTTGTTAGTCTTTGAGTTTGACATGCTTGCTATACACTATATCCCTTGATTCAGGGATATATTAATATTTCATATAAAGAAGCTAAAGTATTCATGTAGTAATGGATGCAGCTGTGGTCTTCTATAAATAATATTTTAAACACACACACTCATTCAAAAAACTGTTACTATCTGAACTCGGGGAGATAAAATGATTAATATAGCAAGGAACATACTGAAAGGGATACACACCTAAGCCAACATGCAAAACACAAACACTGAGTTTTAAAAAGACATGTTTGAAAAGAGCTACTCAGTGATAAAATGCAACTTAGATGAATCTTAAAAGCATTATATTTAACTAAAGAAGCCAGCCCTAGCAGGTTTGGCTTAATGGATAGAGTCTACCTGTAGACCAAAGGGTCCCAGGTTCGATTCCAGTCCAGTTTACGGACCTCAGTTCCAGGCTCCTCCCTGCCCCAGGCCCTGGTCAAGGCCCATGCAGGAAGCAACCAATAGATGTTTCTCCCTATCTTTCCCTCTCTCTTCCACCCTCCCTAAAAATCAATGGGAAAATATCCTCAGGTGAGAAGTAACAAAAAATTTAAGGAAAGAAAGAAAGAAGCCAGACACACACAAAAATACTATATGATTCCATTTAGAACTGACAAACTAAGCTATGGAGATAGAAATTAGACCAGTGTTTGCCTGGTGGGAAAATGGAGGTAGGAAGGAAAGACCAAAAAGAGATACAAGGTACTTTCTGGGGAATAGAAATGGTCAATATTTTCAATGGAGTGGTGGTAAAGCAGATCTGTGCATTTTATTGTAAATGTACCTCATATAAATTATGCTATAATTTTCAAATTTGTTTTTATTAATCCTCATCCAAGGATATTTTTTACACTGATCAAGAGGGAGAGGGAGAGGGAGGGGGAAAGGAAAGAGGAGAGGGAGGGGAGGGGGAGGGGGAGGGGGAGAAGAGAGAGAAAGAAGGGAAAGAGAGAGGAGGGAGGGAGAAGAGAGAGGGAGAGAGGGGAGAAAGAGAGGGAGGGAAAGAGAGAGAGAGAGAGAGAGAGAGAGAGAGAGAGGAACATTGATGTGAACATCGATTATTTGCCTCCTGCATCCACTTCCACCAGGGCCAGGGATCAGAACCTACAACCCAGTACATGCCCTTGACTGGAAATCAAACCTTCGACTCTTTGATGCATGAGCTAACACCCTAACCATTGAACCACACTGGCCAGGGCTAATTTTCAAGTTTTTAACTATAAAAGTAATACAATCTAAAATTAGTACATTTTTGCTCTAACCGGTTTGGCTCAGTGGATAGGGCATTGGTCTGTGGATTGAAGAGTCCCAGGTTCAATTCCAGTCAACGGCATGTACTTTGGTTGAGGGCTCAATCCTCAGTAGGGGGATTGTAGGAGGCAGCTGATAGATGTTTCTCTCTCATTGATGTTTCTAACTCTCTAGTCTTCTCACTTCCTCTCTGTAAAGTCAATAAAAATATTTTTATAAAATAAAAAATAAATAAAATTACTACATTTTTCAAATCAAAGGCTCAATAAACAATGCTTTTCTCAGTTTGAGCAAATGGCATCTTCATTCATCAACTTAGTTGTTCAAGCAGAAATTCTTGCCACTTCCTTCTCCTCACTGAGTTCTGAAAGTTGCAGGATTCTCTCTGCTCCAGTGTCACCCTCTCAGATCAAGCCACTATCAGCTCTCACTTGTATCAGGTTCCTAACTGGCCTTCAAGTCCCACACAGTAACCAGTCCTTGTTTACAAAATGAAATCTGCCAAAGTCACTTTCTTGCTCAGAGCCCTTCAATATCTGAGTTCTCAATAAATTCTAGGATCTTTAACATGACTCTCACACACATACCTCAACCTGAACCCTGACCATCGCTCCCATTTCAGCAACTGAGACTCCCACCACTTGACCATCTCTTACTTGTTTCCTGCACCTGAAGATGTTCCGTGCCTCAGAGCCCTCCTTAATGCTGTTCCCTCATCCTGGAAGATTCTTCCCTCCACCACTCAACAACAGACTACCTTCTACCCAAACTTCCTTTCTCAGAGGCTCATAAAAGTTACTTCTTCAGGAAATTCCCTGACCCGCCCTGCAATCCTCAGCCCCACTTCCACCCTCAGTAACATAATATGTCAGTGGTCTCCCCAATTCCTTCATAGCACTTATCACAATTCTCACAGATATTTAATGAAGTGTTTAATGATCAGACTGAAATTAATGATGACAAGAGCAGTCAGTATTTTTTAAGAACATATAATACACTAGGCATTGGGCTAAACATTTTACAGTTTCCATTTGTATCTCTGCCACAACTCTATGAGATTACTTCTCTGACATCAGTCACCCATTCACAGAAGAGAAATCTAAGGCACAGAGAGCTGTCAGTTTTACATGATGAATAAAGTTCTGGAGATGGATTGGTGGTGATGGTTGCACAACAATACAAATGTACTTAGTACCAATGAACTGCACTTTAAAGTAGTTAATATAGTAAATTTTATGTGTATTTGAGCACAATAAAACAAAACTTTTAATAATTCTAAGGGAAAATTATTTTCAACCTACAATTCTAAAAAAAAAAAAAAAAAAAAAAATTCCAGCAAGGGTTGGTATTAGGCTACTTTAGAAAGGATAGTGAGGGATGAGCACTAAGATAACATGAATTCTGAGCAGAGACCTGAATGAACACATGGAACATCATTAAAGTGTACAATGCTTAAACTTTTTCAAGTTTACACTGAAAAGACTAAAGCATGGTTACTTCTTCCTTTTACAATTAGAGGAACTACATGAACAGAGAAGCGTGGAGGTGGAGTCATGGTGGGTTAACTGTGGGGAACAAAATGCTGAGTACTTAATGATACACCCCACTAAACTTTGTTTGCAATGAACAATGAATTCTTATCTTAAAAGATCTGAAGAATCCCAAAGGGTATAACATGCCCTCTGCCCCCCACCAGTCCTCTTCACCCCCATTTTCTGAAGGCAGAGAGGAAGGAATTGCCCATTTTCATAAATAGTAATTTATTTATGAAAGAGAGTAATTTATTTATGAAAGAGAAGTACCCAATTTTAAGAATCTTATTAATTGAGCACTGACAAAAAAATAAAGGATCAAAGTCAGCACATAATCTTACCTAGCAAAAAAAGGGGAGAGAATGGTGCATTTTATATGGCAATGGCTGAGATTTAATCAGTACAACATTCCTTTATGATAAAAGTATTAAAAATGGTTTTCTGATATACTTTACCTTCCTGAAACCACCAGAGTTCCATCATCAAGTAAATAATCCTTCACGTTCTGAGGAAGTGGAAGAATAACACTAAAAAAAAAAAAAAAAAATGCATATACCAAAAAAAGGCATTACTTAAAAAGGCCAAACATAAGCAGAAAGAAAAAATTTCCAAACTCAGTTTTTAAATTACTTGTTCCCATTATACAACTATGAAGTGGAAAATGTTAATGATGTACATTTGATGGCGGCAGACTAGAAATTAAAATATGAAAAAATATTTCGGTAAGCTAAATTAGGTTCATAAAGTTACTACAACTGTCTTTGTGATAAAGACAAAAGTCAGCCAAATCCAAAGCAGCAAACTGAAATCACAGTATGAAAGCAACAAACTCAAAAGAATTCTGAGTACAATAATTATATGCCTTTAGGGAATTAGAGACAAGAGATAATTGCAGCAACACAGGAAGTGCAGCAAACAAGTCAGAAAAGGAACAGCATTCTGACCACCTCCTAGAAGAGAGGGCAGAAGTGTGCTTAAGCTCTGGAAACTGTTCTTTGGCTGTCAATGAACACATAAACCGAAGAACACCTGTGATGTGCGGATGCTTTTGTGGCATCCTACTTAACTGATCACCAGAGCAATAAAGCTCTTAACTGGCCATCCTTTAGTTCCATTTGTTTCAGGTCATCATAACTAAGAATGGCAAAGTGAAGTCACTTAAAAAACGCATGGGATCATTTGTTTTTTCCTCTGTAATAAATCACCAAAAAAATCTGGCTGGATACCTACAGGTAATGTTATTACTTTGATCATAAGATATATATGTATATATATCTCCTGCTTACTTTCAGAGAGTCAATAGAGTAACAACTTATAATATGCTTCACTTATTTACAGAATAATTTTTGGCACATTACAATGGTTTTTGTGCAAAAAAAATTATTTCATGGACTACTTTGGTTTTAAAAATTAATATCTGATTTGTCAAAGTTACAATTTCACATTCAAAAGCCTAGCTCTTCAGGCTTTTATAAAAAACGTTCAATTAACAAATCTTAATGTATTTGTAAACCTGTTAAATTTTAACCAATTTCAAGTGAGTCTCTGAAACTTAAAGGTTGCTTTAAAAAATTTAACTCTATTACAAAAATAATGTGTTCCATTTTCTTTTTAAATACAGGGGTGAGTGAAGTAGGATTACAGTTGTAATACATATACATAATATAATAATAAATAAATGAATAAATAAATAAATAAATAAATAAATAAATAAATACAGCCCTGGCCAGAGTGTTCAGTAGTTAGAGCCTGGGCACTTGGACCAAAGGGTCATGTGTTGGACTCCCAGTCAAGGAAATGTACCTTAGTTGCAGGTTCAATCCCAGGCCCTGGTTGGGTCAAGAGTGGAATGCAACCAATCACTGTATCACTTTCCCGTCTTCCTCCCTTCTACTCCCTCCAAAAATCAATGGAAAAAATGTCCTCACTCATTGGGTGAGAATTAAAAAGTAAACAAATCAATAAACAATTCTATATTATAAAAGCCTAATATGCTAAGTGGCTGATGGACCGGTTGGCCGTTCAACCAATCAAAGTGTAATATGCTAATGATATGCTAAGGTTACTCAACCACTCACTATGACGTACACTGACCACCAGAGGGCAGAGATGCTCCAACCAACAGGTTAGCTTGTTGCTGGGATCTGGCTGATCGGGACTGAACGAGATGGGCCAGACATGCCCTGGAGGTCCCTTCCTGGCTGGCCAACCTCCTGCATCCCTCCCTGGCCTCTATTGTGCACAAGTGGGGTCCCTCGGCCTGGCCTGCACCCTCTGACCAGGCCAAGAGACCCCGCTGATGCACGAATTTGTGCACTGGGCCTCTAGTACAAGAATAAACTGTTTTATATATTCATAACTGTAAACCTACTTTTGCCCACTCTATATGTCAACTATTTAAATAAGCCTTCTAGGTATTTAACTCTTATAAAGCCAGCAAATTAACTAACCTGTAAGTATAGTGAATCTAAGATTCTTGAAAACATTTGGATATTATTTTAAATATTTAACTATTTTTATATTTTTTATATATAATATATAAAATATTATATAATATATAAAATATTTCATATTATTCATATAATATATATATTAGTATATATATAATATATAATATGTAAAATATTATAAAATATTTATAACTATTTTAAATATTTAACTATTTTTCTTAGTGTAACCTATCACCATTGTAAACCAATTACACAATTTAAATTGTGTAAAAAATTACACATAAGGCTAACCTGTTCCATATATATATATTTATTTATTTATTTTAGAGGCCTGATGCACGAATTCATTGAGCATGGGTGAAGTCCCTCAGACTGGCCAGCAATCAGGGCCGATGGGGGTAAAAGGAGGGACTGTGGGAGGTTGGCTGGCCACGGAAAGTTGGCTGTGGGAGTGCACTGACCACCAGAAAGAAGCTCCTGCATTGAGCACTTGTCCCCTGGTGGTCAGTGCGCATCAAAGCTACCAGCTGGTCTTCCGGTTGTAACGTCGCTTAGGCTTTTATATATATACTAGACTAGAAGCCCGATGCATGAAATACATGCAAGGGGCTTGGCCCTCGCAGCCCCGGCCGGCCCTTGTAGCCCTGGCCAGCCCTTGCAAGCCTGGCTACCTTGACTGGCCCTCACAGCCCCAGCTTCGTCCAGTCATCCAGAAGGTCATCCAGAAGATCTTTCAGCTGTTTGGTCTAATTAGCATATTAGGTCTTTATTATATAGGATATATGCTAATTATCCTCAAAACGGCAAAATTTTAAAGATATTAAACTTAGAAAAAAAGATAAAATTCTTAAGTTTGAATTATTTCATCACCTCTGTTTAATTCTAGTTCTTCCTAGGGTTAAAGACACCCATAAAGTAAAATGTCATCCCAAGAGAATTAGAGACCACATTTCTAAGAAAATGTGAAGTTTATTTTATCAGGGTTCTGAGACTGAGAAATGTTGGCAGAATACCAGCTCCTAGACATGTAGGGTGATTTTCCTGACCACAGTGAGAGCAGACCGAGTCCTCTTTTATGTCAATAAAGCCTCTCATCCCCAAATCAATGATTTCAGAGTCCATGTCATTTGTTTTATAGGACTCTAATTTTCAAGTCTGATTGGAATCTGGGCTTTCCCTCCAAGTTTTATCACCCATTGATTAGCTTCAAAACAATTATCTAATGTTTGATTCTATTATGAATTATTTGCATATTCTTCCTATTTGGAGGGTCTATAACTCTTACTCTATTAGGTGATATCAAGTTGGATTCTAGTTCTCATGAGTTACTGAATTCTACAGTCATTTCTAAACTCATCCTTATGACTTATCTTACATTATATCATGTAAGTCAAGGAGGATACCAAGGTGATTCCATTAAGAATGCAAAGCCTGCCCTGGCCAGTGTGACTAGTTTAGTTGGAGTTCGTTCCATGCACCAAAGGGTTGCGGGTTCAATTACCAATCAGGGCACATACCCTGGTTGTGGTTTTGATGCCTGGTAGGGGCACATATGGGAGGCAATGATCCATGTTTCTCTCTCACATTGATGTTTCTCTTTCTCCCTTCCCTTCTTCTCTCTCTAAAGTCAATAAAAATAAACAAAAAGAAAAGAATGCAAAGCCTATGAGGGCGAAAGACATAAAAGAAAAAAATCACAGTACAGCCGAAACCGGTTTGGCTCAGCGGTAGAACGTCGGTCTGCGGACTGAAAGGTCCCAGGTTCGATTCCGATCAAGGGCATGTACCTTGGTTGCGGGCACATCCCCAGTAGGGGGTATGCAAGAGGCAGCTGGTCAATGTTTCTCTCTCATTGACGTTTCTAGCTCTCTATCTCTCTCCCTTCCTCTCTGTATAAAATCAATAAAATATATTTAAAAAAACAAACAAAAAATCACAGTACAATATGGTAAATGCTGTGCTAAGATGTACTAAATACTACCAAAACGCAGAGGATAAAGGAATTGTGCCTGAAAGACTGAAGCCATAAAACAAGTCATTGCCAGGCACACTTTACACATAAGACTGCCAGAGAAGAGCTTAAATTTGTCATTGAAATCTATTTTGCAGGCAAGAATCCAATGAGGTTTTACTGGCAGATGTAAAAGACTTAACTGTCAAAGTACCTACACCACCAGGCTGATATAGTTACATATATACAGACAAGTTATTCTAATGAAATTGTAGAGGTAGAAGGGGCCTTTACAAGATTGCTATAACTTTCATGTTTGAGGGAATAAAAAAAAAGTGGATGGCCCAAAGTCCTCTAGCTAGTTGTTCATAAGCCTGAATCAAAGTTGTAGAACTTGTCAAAAAATGTACTTCTATTCTTAACTGCTTCACTGCTGACCCTAAATAACAATGCTGAGTAGAAAACAGGATTTAATATAGTCTCTCAGCATTAAAGCTGACAATGGCAATGGCAAAGCTAACAATTCCACCCGACTGGCCTGAGCTGTGGAGGGGTATCCTGCCATATGTCAGGTTCAGTGATATCACCACATGAGTGACTACACTGAAGAGTTTAAAGAGAGTAAAGAATGGTTTCAGGAAGGACAGCTTAGTTTTTGACTGTTCAGAAAATCCCACCTCTTGGTTTATTTTTCACTCTCAGCTTCATGTGAATGTTTCACATTTTAAGTAAACTAAAATTATTTTGCTTCAATTGAGCTTTGATTAAATCCAAAATCCAAAATGTGACAACATGCAGCAAATTAGTTTACTATATGCCAGAAACAGTGGCAAGCATTCTAAATGCTTTATTTCATTTAATGCCCATGATAAGGCTGTTTTGTCTCAATTTCCCAGATAGGACTTAGATTACACTTTGCTCAAGATGCTGGTGGAACCAAAATTCAAAGCCAGGTAGATGGCTCCAGCGTCCAATTCTTAACCATTATATGTATTTTACTGCTGAAGGTAAAGAAAAAGTACACCAGATGTTGCAAAAGAACTGCACAGAAAGTACATGTCGGTTTTAAGTGAACTCAGTGTGAAAATGTATGACAAGTTCACAGACATACCTCATATTGTAGCAACCCAAAACAAGTAATGCTATCATTACCTCAGACCCAAAGCCTATTTCAACTATGCAAGGTAATAAAAGACTGGCATATCATGTAGAAAAATTACTTCTAGGATAGGTGTAATGGATAGATGCTAATTATCCTCAAAATGGCAAAATTGTGAGAGCCAGCCAAGGTGTAATGGACAGGCTGCAGTCTCAGGCGGAAGCACGGGATAACCTCCATTACACCATGAGTAATTGGAAGCTGATTGTATGTCTGAATAAGAGGATGGAAAAGAATTTTCTTGAATAATCTCTTTATGCTCTTTCAATCCCTCAGGATTTCAAAAACAGTTTCCCTCTCTGCATTCACACTCTCAGCACTGAGGACAGAATGAAAAGCAAGTGACAACTGATATCTAAATAACTGGAAACTAGGCCTAAAGGAGGATAGGGCAAAGTACAGAAAATGCTATCCATGGACATGTAGTTCTTTGATCGATCCTCTTAGTGAATGAAAACCTGCCCTTGCATCTTGCTCCAGATGGCACGATTGCTTTTGAACATTTGGGGCTATATTCTCCTAGCTGTCTTGCCTACAATACTTGAATTATCTGGGTGAAGGATGAAACAGTTAATCCTATGCTTGCCCTGCAAAATAGGGATGGATTCCTTGATGGTAGGGTGGAGAACTAGAAAACAAATATTGTTCCACAACTTTTCCAGACAGCTTCCTCTTGCGGTACAAGCATTCTTAAGAATATATAACTAAACTAACGCTGTCACATTTACATTTACCCTGTCACATTGAAACTTCACAATATAAATTGGGTTAGCCTCGCATCGCAGGGACTACCCAGTTCTCTCGACCTCCTCCCTCTCTGGTGATTCTAAAAACAAGGATGGTGAACTCCCAAGCCTAAACAGGCTTAATCCACTGCTCACCAGCCTCTGACCTTCTCTGAACCATGACAAAGCCTTCTGGCACACTCTCTGACCCGCAACAGAACGCACAGCAAATATGGATCGACTTCATTTATCTCCCTACCTGAAATATCACTAGGAAGTCGAAAACTCGGCTTTGGCGTTCTCAGCCCACAAGGCCTACATTTTTTATTTATGCTTTTTATTTTTTTATGGAGATAGAATTTTCCCCAAATATCAGAGTTTCCTTTGCCATCATCCCGGAGTAGGCCCCTCCTGAGTTACCTCTTGATGGTGACACTTCTAAAGAGCGAGTACCACGCGGAGAACTGACAGTGCAGCACTTGCTCCTTCTTCATCCTCCAGCCGCCGCCGCTCCCGCCGCTCCCAGCGCCTCCCGGAACCTCCTTCTCCAGCCCCCGGAAGTGCCCGCCGAGCTGGTTTGGCTCAAGAACCCTTCCGGTCCCTAAAGCGGGGAGGAAGTGACCGGGAAGGGAGCAGAGGAGGGGGATTGTGGGGCGCACTTTCAGAGCGCGCTTGCACACCCCCACAAACACTCCGAGTCCGATCCCCGAGAGGCGTCCCGGCGGAGTTAGGAGACGTTAAGAAGTGCCCGCCCGCTTCCCTCTGAGAGGCGCGCCGCCCCGGAAGGTAACCGACCGGGCTCCGTCCCCGGCGGGGGTTCCACGGAGCCGGGAGGGCGCGCGTGCGCATCCTCTTACCTGCGGCGCGCGGCTCCGTCTCCCGCGGGGGCGCCGGCTTCCCTGGAGACTGCAGCCTCGGACTCGTGCTTCTTCCTTCGCCCCCTTCCCTTCACCCCCACCTTGGAGTAGGTAACCGGGCGCGGGCCCGTCACGCACTAGCTCTGTGGGGGGGAGGGCGGGGACACTCCCGGAGCGTGCGGGCAGCCACGCGGGCATCCCCCGGCGCCTCTCCGGGTCCGCGCCCCGGGCAGCGGGGGCGGGGGCCGCGGAGGCGCGGGAAGGGGAGCCGGGTTCCTCGGGGAATCCACGGACCGGAGTAGAAGAGCTTTGGCTCTTCGGAGTAGAGAAATCAGGAAATACCACAGTGAAATATTAATTTGAGTGCATGTGCATAGAGCAGGGGAGTGACCCCGCTTCTTTTTTTTCTCTTTTTTTGGGGGGGCGGGGGGCGTTATATGACATAGGGCAAGAACCCCATCTGTACGACCCTAGGGAGTGAGACTTGGAGTTTAAGAGGGGAGGTAAATTGGGGGAAATAGAGGAAAGGAGAGAGGTTTCTCCTTTGAGCGTCGAGGTTATTTACACCAGCCTCGCAAAAAATAGCAGGCTGGGAAAGCCTTGATTTCTAAAGTATCCATGCCATGCCGGAATAATAAGGCAGAATCGTAATCTAACTTTGCCTTCTCCCTCCCCACCACCCTATCCTCTATCTTCCCTACTCTTTCCGGAATGGGGTGTTAGTAGCGACCAAAAAATAGAATATGAAGGAGATATTCTATTTTATTCACTTTTGTTTCTTTTGAAGAACGAAAGAGATGACCAGCTGCTGAGAAACGTCTTTTAAACCTAGCCCTTGACTCTTACCGTTTCAAGCAACTATGCCTAAAGACACGCATTTTAGATGTCTCCTTAAAAACTTTACAACTTACTGCTCCATAGAAGCAGTTTTAAATTGGAAAAGTATGAACCCGACTACAGGCCTCTCTAAGAGGTATTCATTAGAATAATTACTAGGTCCTCTGCCTGGAGTTGGAAATTCTTCCCTTCTTCTTGTATTGTTTTTCTCAAAAATGTTGCAGGCTGTTTTCTTTTAAAGATACAGTTTCAAAGCAGAAGTAAATAGGTTATAATGTTGCAGTGTTTGTTAAAGGAGAGGGCAGCGGTAGTGGTTCGTAAATAATTTTGAGATCCATGATTATGCAGTCCTTTCTGTTTCGAAAGGGAAAAAGAAGCAATATTCCACATATGTTAGAATAGTAACCTCATGCCAGATGGAGCAGTCACTCAATTATTGTTGGGATTAACCTAAGAATAAATAGGTTACAGCAAAGGAAATGCTAGCACTGGTGAATTTGGTAAGGTATTTTCTCTTGAAAATAGGAATTAATAGATGTATAGAAGAAGGTAGAAACCCAAAACATAGTCACTCTGGAAAGAGTAATACAGTAATAGCCCAGGAAACTTTAGTGTGGAGGTTTGTTCAGTGACTTGAGTATTACAACTGATTTAATATAGCTTTTACACATTTAACTAGCATCAAATAAATTGACATTCCAAACAGATACTCCAGTATTTTTAATGGATTCAGCAAAGTTTACTTTCACTATTTTTTAGCCTCAGTGTTTGTCTTTATTTAGCCATAAACTGTTTATATTCATTAAGTTTCTTCAATAAAACCTTTTACAACAATGGAAATAGTTGCTTTTTCTTGTGCATGTCAAAAAAAATTAGTAGCTAAACGATTGGGTGTTATTGTGTAATTACAGATTAAATAATGGGGGAGGGGGGATGTCCTATGAATCCATAACATGACTGATCCTTCTATGTTAATATTTCCAACCACTTGCTGGTTTTCTCCACTTGGAAATCTATCCAAAATCTTAAACTTAGTAAGTCCAAATTTAACAGTGCACCACCCCTTTCTTCTTCTGATATCGCAATGTCCTTTAAGATCATCTTCTTAGAATTAGCTTTGGAGACCCCTTCTGCAGAAACTCTTTTAAGAAAAGTAATAAAGACTCATCTTCAAAGAAGTCATTTTTTTCTTTTGACTGCTGCCACCCTAAGCCTCTGCTATTCCAAAAGGTTCTTTCCTGTAACCCATTATACTTACCCCAGGATAATAAACAGCCAGTTCACTTTTACTCATCTAACCCCTACCCCTGCCAAAAAGACAACTTTCAGTGCCTTTCCATCTTTCCTATACAAATTAAGTACAGGAAGTCTTCATTTATCTGAGGGTAATTGTCAGCGAAGAAAAGCTCACTTAAAGTGAATCTATTTGAAATCCAAAATCTTAACATAAATTATACAAAGAAGGATTAATCAAAATACTACCTTTAAAAAACCCTAAATTTTAGTTTTATGATTATAACCAAAACTATCAAATAGAACTGTACTAATCAATTCTGTGTTCATTATAATAACTTATATGTAATTCTGAAAGAATGTAGAGCTGCATCTTAGACATGTCTAATCAATGGATAAATTTTTTATTTTAACACACAATCATAAAGTTACTTTTGCAAACACTGATCCTCTCCCACTTAATTTCTTTCATAGTGCCTTGTTGATTTCTCTACCCAGTGATTAAACTGTTCTAACTGCTTGATCTTCATTTGTCAATCAAATGCTTTGTTTATGATTTGAGCTCCTATGTGTATTATTTTGTTGAAAATAAATGATGTTCGTAATACTCAGCTTTCACCAGAGAGAGATTAGCCAACATAAAATTTCATATTGAGATTTTTGCTTCATTTTACAAACTATGTGAACTGCAAATTGAGATTCAAGAATGGTAATAAAACTAATGAGCCTAAGTTCAAACATCACAGCCTGGCTTTTGAGATTCTCAGTTTAATTTATTGAGTTTTAAATTCCACTTATCCAGCTATTTTTACTAATAGTAAAATACTCAAGCTTGTTAAAGTAATCACTTATCTTCAATAGAGAAATATAAAGCTAACTCCAAGAGTAACAAGAGTCTGGCATGCCAGTTAGGATTTTGCCAAAAAAAATTCTGAGATGCTCTAAATAACAGCTTCCACAGAGTAAGAAAAAGAGACAAAACAGCTGTGGAACAGCTCTCACAAAAGATTCACATTCCTGTATATTCATTGGAATTTCCAGGTGGCTATTTCCAGATTATCTAAAAGGATTACAGCCTGGTACTGGAGAACTCCAGGAGGCTCCACTTATTTGCAAGTAAACATTCCAGTCCTTAGGAGCCCACACTTCCTTTCAGACTCTTGCCAATCCTGGAATTAGCCCCTCTTAGTCTATAGCTAATGTAAATCCTTTCAGAATGGCTTACCTATCTTTTTTCCTCCTACCTGATCTATAAAAAGTTTGCAAAACCCCAGGGAGAAGACAGACATATTGTCTCTCCTACTTACCCATGCTGGGTGGTTTAAATTCCATACCCCAAAAAGTCTTTTTTTTTTTTTTTTTTGTAAAATTGGTCTTATAAATCCTTTCTTAAAAAAAGACTTTGAGCTGTGGTAGTTAAAAAATTTTAAACAGGTTGTTGGGTGCTTTGTTTGCCTGCAAATTTGGGGGAAGAGGGCAACCATTCAGCCAAATCCAGCTCTTGGAAATGTGTTACCATTATAATACCTATTATATGTGGGGTTTGTTTTGGTTTTTGGTTTTGGGGGGTTTGGTTTTGTTTTTGAGGGTTTAGGGAAGGAAAGCTTGAGAACCACAGGGCTTGACCCAGATTATGTCTCTGCTTTGTTCATGGTGGTTCCTTTTACTTGGAATGATTTCCCTGCCTCTTGGTCTGCAAATCTCAGTGTCAGCCTACCTTTTAGTAGTAAATAGCCTTTTAAAAGTCTACAGGTTTCCCCACCTCCCAAATGGATGTATTTGTCTTCATTTAAAGTACCCTGGTATTGCATTATCTCTACAGCAGACATTTGCCCCTGTGGTTGTTTGCTAAACTGTTAAGATCACAAGGACAAAAATAGCGGTCAGTTTACACTTAACATATTCTCAAACATTTTCAACTGCCCATGCTCAAAGTTTGAGGTTCCACTGTACAAGAATTCTAAATCCTGTAACATTTTCCCTCACTTCAGTTTTTGTGCCCTGAAAAAAATCATAACATTTGACATACCAAAGACCCTCACTGTTCAAACCAGTTAAAATGGCTTATGTGAATTAAAACAGTAAAGTATTGCCCACCCGGTGTGGCTCAGTGGGTGAGCATTGACCTATGAACTAGGTGATCATAGTTTGATTACTGATCAGGGCACATGCCCAGGATGTGGGCTTGATCCCCAGTGTGAGGTGTACATGAAACAGTTGATCAATGATTCTCATTATTAATGTTTCTGTCTCTCCCTTCTGTGCTGTGCCAACACAGCCTAGGGTTCCGTGAGCCTGAGGGAGGGAGGTAAAGGATGGAGAAAAAAGGACGAACAAGAGAATAAGCTGGGTCTAGGTGGATCTTCATCTTGCTGAGGCCACAGAACAGATCCAGATTGCAAAGCTGATATTTTATTTATTGTCAGGGACAAGCAAGGTAACATACAATGTTCTTGTAAGTTTTACTTGTTTTGGCAGCCCTTGTTGCCCCTCCCACAGCTCACTAGCTACCCAGGAAAGATCTAGGGAGCAGTTACAAGATCAAGTTTAATTATGCTAAGAGGGCT